CATGTGGCAATAAAAGCTATTGCAGAGGAGGAAAAAGCTTGAGGTCTAATTTGAATAACAAAAACGGAACAAATAAAAACAATCAGACCACTACATATTTGATTGATTGTTGTGCATGGCTGATATTGGATGAAATGCTAGGCTCATCTCGACAAATATAATAAATCCTATTGAGTTGCGATGCTATTCAAATTTCGCTTGAAAACGCATACTGGAGGTGCTGGAGGGACTCGTTGGGGAAACTCTTCGGTCTCCCCATTCCCAAGACATAACGAATATGCTCCTTACAATGTCCCAATGGGAATGAATCATGCTGGACCGGAATCATCATATGTTTTCGGTAGAGGAGCTGGAAAAGTGACTGCGAGCAGAAATGTGCCTTAATGAATTGATGAAATCCTTTCGCTCGGAATCCTTCCTGTTGAGAACGTCCTCGTAACGCACCAGTCATGTACCTGGATCGTGCCTTACTTAATGCCAAGGCATTAACAGAATTTGATTTAATCATTCGAAGGACGCAATATTCATGCCGACGCGATCTTCTGCTCGAATGGGGCTCATTCGCAGAATTCGAGGACGGGTGCAATATGTTACGAAAACTTTTTGTCTAAAACAATTCCCTGTTCGTGACAACGAGAGCGTTCGACTTTCTGGAAATTTTCAAATTGAAGTTGTTGGAATGTCTGACCGATTCTCTGGTGAAAAGAGGTGAAGGAGGGAAACAAAGGAAGGGAGAAGGAAAAGCGAGAACAAAATCATACACTATGGAGAGATTTACAGAAAAGCTGTTTGCTTCAAAACTATTATAAATATAATAAGTAATAGACTTTTCGATTTGGAGAATGGGGAATTTGACGGGCTCTCTAATCAGGTCCCTTCAGGATGCCAGAAACGTTATACCGAAAGGGTGACGACGGCAGTGCCGTCTGCAGGAAAGGACACTTCCTCTACGAAAATTCAGCCCCACCCCTCCGTCCTTACCCATCCCCATTCCAGGTTTTCCTTCTTCATACTTGATACCCATCATTTCCTTTTAACCATTAGCTATCATCCATAAAGCTTTGTCTGAGCATCTTGTAGAAATGAGTAAAATCGCAACTGCATGGTATAATTCAGGGGGAAAAGCTCCCGTGAGCAAAGAGCCCGGGTGCCATTGCCTTCAAAGCTATTCAAGTTCAAAAAAATCGAGAAAGAAGTTTTGATGAAAAATTGCATACATGGCGACATTAAGTGAAGGTTCGAGTGTCAGAAACACATATAGAAATTCTCATATAAAAATCAGACGAGTGTTGTTGATCTGATTCCCTTTCAACAGCATCAATTGGTTTGAGGCTATATTTTCATACCCCACATGCATGCATATATGATGGAGCTTCTACCCAATGAATGCCACGGGGTGTGTTAAAAGGGAACGATGAAAACATCGTTTAGTTATGAAGTATGACTCATTTCTCCAAAGCGTAGTATCCCACATTGAGACGATGTGGTTAGTGGCCTGTGAGAATGGATATTGAAAGTGGTACGTGCTCACACTTCCCAATCCTGGCGAAGGAAAAACAGAATGGATAAGACATTATGAAGTCCAAGAAAAGGGATGTAAACAAAATTCAATTGCGGCCCAGTCTCCCCCACCCACAAGAACATGTTGTACTCAGACCGTAGCGGAACAGTAATTTCTGGCCCAGTTTACCCATATAAGAGTACATGGCCATTTGCCACTTCTCCATGGAGGTTTATGGAAATCAGGAATGATCAGAATGACTAGCTTCATGACTTCAGCCTTTACCCGCTAACAGAAGTTCTGCCTCTTGTTGTTTAGTGCCTAAACCTTTCAAACATTTTACTATACTGGAGCAACAAGCCCTTCCGAAAGCTTATCACGAACTTCAAGATCTACTTATACAAAACCAAATACCGCCCCTGCAAGTACTTTTTTGGAAATCGGTCAGTATCATTCAATTATTTAGTTACTTTTTTTTACACTGGTAGGTGTGTCTAACTCAAAGGGGTCAATATTATACATTATAAAAACTGGTTTAGTAAAAGAAATTCAAAAGTTTCTAGTCGGAAAGGTTCACATAACAGAAGTTGGCCTGCCGAACTGAACTTATGGTACTAACCAATAAGTGTAACACTGATCATAATCAGACAACATTTGCAGAAAATCCACCTCCCCAAATCACTAACCAAAACGGTTCTCAACTCATAGTGGTCGCCTTTATGTCTGTGAGCTACTGACAACTAGTCGGTCAGGCACCTAATGGAATCAGAAATCATTTAAGACTTTGGAAGATCGCTTATTTCATGGAAGCGTACCAGCCCGACTTCCTAGTCACTTCCTAACTTTTCTTGCCATCCTCTCAGGCCCTCAGTCCACTTTCAATGGGATTGCCAAGTTATCCAACCAATTCAGCCGAAGCGATCTAGACCGGATTGGTTACCCTTCCAAACTGAGCCCTTTTTTTGGAAAGATACATACATATGTTGAAGCTATGAGGACATATGGTTCGTCACGTTCTGTATAGACCCAGTCTCGAATTCCGTAAGAAGAGAGGGAACAACAACAAGACAATTATAGGTGAGAAAATATGGTTCTTCCCAAAGAGGAAGGCAAAAACTGGAGTTTCTCCTAGCATTCCCAATGCATAACCACTCAAAAGTCTATAATAGATTAATTTCTGGCGATGGAACCTTCTACGCAGTGCGAAGTAGTGCGAACGACCCCTAGTGGTTACCAGAACTAATAACAAAATGGAAAGCTATGGTGAAGACGATAGTATTCGCCTGATTGCCACTGGAAAACATGGTGAGGAAATCTATTCGGAAGAGAATTCCGACACTGGTCTTATCAACAACCTAATGGAGGGATCTGCATATTGTCCATAACGTTTATAGAATTTTAATCCGACAAGAGTATGTTTTCCGCAGTCGCTTAGACTTTAATAATCTCTTTTGTTTCAGAGAATGACAGCAATACAGAAGAAAGATACCGTATCCGACGGAAAGGCATTAATTTTAAAATTTTGTGCTCGGCTAGAAGCTGAAAACACTATTGCAAAGCAGGGAGCATGCAAGTTCGACATTAACGCTCCTACATGCTCAATGAATGTAGCCGATGAAAATGCGCTCCGTAAGAATCGTAAATGGGGTAGAGATGCTCATAAATTCTGAAAGCGCTTTGAACACTTAAAACAATTGGTCTCGTATCGTCGCATGGTGTGCAGAGCGCTTCAAATAACGGCATGCAAAGATGAAGCTTTTCAATCCATCATCCTTCAAGGAATCTTTTTCAAGCTGGCTCACAGCTAAGGAAACGAAAACTCAGAACGGGGGTCCGGTTCCCATTGAAATCCGGCTGTGGTTTCAGGCTCAAGCCGGTAGTGATGTGTTACAGCCACACGATAACTCTTCCCGTGCCCTGCCTAAGGTTTCATCAATGCGCCCTATGTGCCCGAGATTGAGATGTGTCCATCCAAGCGAGGTTTGCCGTGGAATGAAGTATGCCGTCCGTGAAATTCAGTATCCATTGTATTTTATTCCGACATAAGGTCATTGTATAGAAGGAATTGTGTTCCCATACTACCTTTGTCCCTGTCCTCCAGGGTACAAGTTATGGCACTAGCCACTTTCATTGAAATGCAGCTGAATTGCGCGCTGTTGAAAATGAAGCTAAAAAAAAAAGGGGGGGGGGCATTCCTTTTATCTAACATTGAGCTTCAGGACGCAGACAAGGGAGGGTAGCCGTCTTCGCCGGCTTGTATAGTGCTTCCTATGTATGATTTAGCACGATAGCACGCTACAACTTACAGTTCTGGAAAGAAATGGTTCACTTTTCGATTTAGTGGTGTTCGATCCCTCCCCCTCCTTTTCCCAGGTTTCTGTACAAGGTAACCACAAAAAGCCGTATCCTTTTGGCTTAAACAAAATTTCAAGCTTTAACACAGGCTCACCTCCTTCTCTCCCCTGTGGCGCCCAGTGTTAGAGAAGAAAGGTGGCCCTTTCAAAAAACACCACCTAATGAAGTAGAGCTGTGCCAGTCA